TTGGGGCTTAGAATAAGACCATGTAAAGGTTTGGGCCCAATTTGGAAAATGAGGCCACGTGTTGGGCTTTGACTCATAGTTGACTTTTGGGCATTTGGATTGGGCCTTGGGTCTGAATCAAGCTAAGATAAGGGTAAAGCTGTCTTTTACCCTAAGCATGTACTTATGGGTATATGTTGGAACCCAATTGCTGATTAGGTGTTATTTTGATGATTGACAGTTCGAGAATCTGTCATCCAGCAGCTAGAGTTTTGTCTACAGGACTTCTGCGGTGTGAGGTGAGTAACCTTCCAGTAGAGGTGGGTCTAAGGCACAAATGCCGGCCCACCAGTAGGTGATTATGTATGAGATGATTGTATTTGTGATAATTTTCTGGTTTGCCACTATCTGATGTGCTTTACGTGCTAGGATGCTCGGTTATATGTGTTAGTAGTAGAAGGGGTTAAATAATCCCCGGATACCGGTTGAAAGATACCGAAGGGGTAGTCAGTACCCATGCATGCCTAGCAGTATGTTTATGTTATGTTATTATGTGGTAGTGGTAGGGGGTGAAATAGTCGCCAGTAGTCGGTTGAGATAAACCGATGGGTAACTCAAGCACCCCAGAATGGCTTGACATGGGTAAGTCAAGCACCCCATAATGGTTTGACCTGGGTAAGTCAAGCACCCCAGAATGGCTTGACCTGGGTAAGTCAAGCACCCCAGAATGGCTTGACATGGGTAGGTCAGGCACCCCAGAATCGTCTGGCAGTATGTTATTGTATGGTGTGTGGTATGATGGGGGAACTCACTAATCATGCTTATGGTTTACAGTTTTGGTTTCAGGTACGCGTTTTCAAAGGAAAGGAGCCGGCTTGATCGCAACGCATCACACTATGTTTTCCGCACATGAGATCTTTGGGATTACACTCTGATATTATTTTATGATAACATGTTTTAATTATTGACACTTGGGTCTTGACATGTGATGTTATTATGGATGTTTTACACTGTTGGTTTTATGAATTGTTAAACTAAAAACGAAATTTTTGGTCTTGAATTTTGGGATGTTACATTTATACTTTATTTTAATATCTAAATATGCTATTATAATTTATAACTCGTTCATACAAACTCCGTTTTTGACCTTCTTTATATCCACGCATAGCTATCGACGAGATCTACAACTTTCGTTTAGACTTCGTCGTCTAATTTTGACTTTATTTTTCGTCCATATTTTTATAAAATTAAATGATTTTGCTAAAATCACAACTCTCGCGTACGAACTTCGTTTTTGGCATTATTTTTCTCAAAATTCCTATTTTAAGGAGTATTATGATTTTCATTTTGGTGGCATTTGCTAAAATTCAACCATTCTCTTCGTAGCTTTTTATGTCATACATTCGTTGTGCGCTGCTGACTTTTATATCTTATAAAAATCATATCTAATTCATACGGAGTCAGATTTCTACGAAATTTATATATTTCGGATCAGGAAGACATGTACTTTATATATATATATATATTATATATATATATATATATATATATATATATATATATATATATGTTTTGGCGCACATATTTTTACAATTTACGGACGATTCGGCTGATTTATCCTATTTTATTATATTATAAAAATCATGAAACACACATTATTCATATAATTCTTATTTATTACGTCAAATAGGTTACAATTGTGAACCATAACTATTACTTTGGTTAAGATTATTTATCCTAGATAATCTTCTATAAAAAAAATCATTTTAACGCTTATTATATCTTAATTGACTAGCCCGAATCTGCGGGTGTTACAATTATCATTCTATAATGTTATACTAGGTAGACCATGGATCCACGATATGAAGGTTGTCCCCTCAACATACCATCATTGTGTTAAAATGCCCACTCCATAGGGGTTTGTAAAAATCACAGGTGATCAACAAGAATCCAAGGAATGCTACAAGACCTCAAAGAAATCGTCAACGGTAACACGACAAGCATAACAATTAAAGAAGGGGGCACGAGGTGTGCTAGAAATTGTGAGAACAAGGATATGATGCGCAGGGACAAGGTTTGAAAACTCAAACCTTGAGTTAATACTTAAAATCAATGTATGCTTATAATTAGATGTTCCGGTCAAGTCTGGTAATACCAGTCGAGACTGAAGAGTGAAATCAACAAAATACTCAAGTAATAAATGTAGAACTATGAATATAATCAAAGTAAAGACAATAAATGAACAAGTACAAGGTTTAGAAAGCTTTTGATATGAGAGAAATGTGAAAGAGACTTAATATGATAATATGCTATCTTTGGAAGAACAATCTGTAATATTCTTGTCTTTAAATCACTCCTTAAATAGTCAAGGAGGAACATCGTACAAACCGATCAACATACAAAGGACTGGAAAATAACAGTACTTCCGACATTCTGATTATCCAAATAAAAAAAAGAGACTTTTTCCTATGAAATGTTACATCATATAAAAAGACGAGAATAATTAATGCATAGACAGACACTTGATCTCGAATCATTTCATCATCTCGGAACATTCTCCACTTCGGACTCTGACTCCATCTCGTACCACAATACATTTCAGACTCAAGACTGACTTCGGATCTTCCAGAGTTTGAGATTGCTAGAGGTTCACTTTTAGGTTCCAACAATCTCCCCCTACGTGAACTTAGCAATCCAGTCAACTTAGTTCGATTCTTCCTGGATAAACACATACGGATGGTACAACTAATCTCTGACTTCGATATACCATTGAAACTGACTTATGAATTTTTCCTTCACATGCTCTGGTGCTTCTGACTTTGATGCACGATTGATAAACTTCGGAAGGGCTTTGTTGGGAACCAGATGCTTGTCAAGGACTCGGAAGAAGTCCTTCTTGTTTGTCTTCTTTTGAAGATACACAAACTTTAACGCTGGTTCATCAATTGGTCCCTCTACCAATATCTCAACTTCTGGCAGCTTGAAATCAATCTTTGCTAAGTATTTTTCGGTTCCGAACAAGGGGCCAATTCAAAGTCGCATCTGTATAATTCAACGACATAATCTTTGAGGAAACTCAAGGCCACATGGTAGGCTCCCATGTTAATATCGTCGATTTGGTGGCTTCTGAAGTGTGCAACTATCGTCAGGATGTCGTTGGGATTGATTGCTAGGAAGTCGGCGTCGGTGATGGTGCTTTGAATTTGTTTGTTTTGAAAGATGTGGTATCGGAACAACACACAATTCAATTCAAATTTGGTTAAGATTTTCCTTCCGAACCCAGAGATCTTGGTGATCCTTTTCCGAAACCATACTTCTTTTTGGCGAAGTGCATTATTGGAGTAAAAGGTCTTCAAACGTTCACGTTCAGTTCTGATGATCATTTGTGGATCATCTTCTGGGTGGAGAGGAGCGAACTTGATGTAGAACTTGCTGTATAGAGAGATGGGCAGATAAATATGGTTTGAGTCTTGATTTGAGAGATCATAATACATATATGGCACTATTTCCAAATTATGTATTATCCCTTCTCGGCAAAGAGGGGAAAGCCCTAGCATCGGATGAGGATTATCTTTAAGGGCTTAGATCCGAATGCTTTCCTCGAGGGCTTTATTTATTTCTTCGTGAGACCAACCACTTTTCACTTTAACGGGAGTATCGGAGTTATGGAATTCTGAAATGGGTTTCTTTCCCTTATCTTGCTGTTTTTTGAGGACCGAGAGAATGTGTTGCATGTTTTCATCAATGGCAAATTTCAGAGGGGAGGAAATCAGGGGCTTTTCAGTAATATCATTAGGCTTCTAAAGAGGAGAGCCTTCATCAATAGGAGCAATCCTGGGTGAAGGAATCAGAGGCATCATTGATTGGGTGTCTCGGAAGGCTTCAACTTTTAGCTTGGTTTTTGCCTTAGCCTCTTCACGGCTTCTTTGAAGTACATCAGCCAGAGTTGATGGAGATGAGATTGCCGACCATATCCGTTGCTCTTCCTCGGATAACCCTTTGGCTGAGGATTTCCTTGGAGCTGGAATCCCTACGATAGCATTGGTGATGTACTTATATTCTTCATCTTCATGATTATAATCATCATCTAGAGAACCTGTAAGAACTTGCAAAGAATCATCAGAGTCTTCATCTTGGATTCTGAACTCCAAGACAGGTTTCCAGGGGAAGGATTGACTTCTCCTGCTAGGCCATTCTCCCCCTCTTGCAGCGGATGACCCGCCAACCGATGAAAGCATTGTAGACTCTTTGATATTGGAGAATTTGTCAAACACCTTTTGAAAGCTTTTGTTCATCTGCAAAGTTAAGGCATCATAAGCTTCAGGTGTGGGAGCCTAAGCTTTTAGGTGGTCAAAGAGTTTGGCAAGAATCGAAAGCATCTCATCAAATTTGTTATTCGGAACATCCACAATGTCCCAACATGCTCTGAGAAGCTTGATAAGAACTTGTTGCATGATCAAGTTCATTTCATCTTTCTTCTTGATTTCTTTCTCCAATCTCTGAATATGTTTTTCATGGCGGATGTGGGTCGGTTTGATGAGCTCATTTGTTGCACCGATCATATCATCGTGAACCTTCAACATTGTGGTGATGGTGTCGAGGTAGTGATCTAAGCTTGCATTGTATTTCTGTCCGACCTCCTCAACTATGTGCTTGAGTCGGAGGGAAATAAGTTTATCTAGTTGAGCTTCCCTTTCAGCAGTTGTTGGTCCGGACTTTGTGGGTTCAGACAAGGAGAACAAAATGGCATCTAGCTTTGAGTCTAGACCCGAAACCTTGTCATCAATATTGGAGTCGAGTCCGGCCACAGAGGTTTTAATTGATTCAACCTTTTTGATAGTTTTAGAGACATGGTCTTGGAGTTCCAATAGGGAAAAGGGATTAACATAATAACCAGCTGATGATCCCATGTCCGAGGTGGAGGTCCGAGACTTACCTTTATCATCATATTGAGTAACAGGTGGTTCGGAGGGGCCAGCCTGAGTTGCATTGGCTATATTAACTGCCTTGGGAGGAGTAGACTATGTTTCATCTCCAAGATATATTTGAGCTTGATCATCAATCTTGATCTCTTCATCAACAAGCTTGGAAGAAGAAGAGGAGAGCCCAAAATCATACACTAGGCTTGAAGAAGATGGCTTGGTTGGAAGATTAAATGAGGAAAACAGTGGTCGAGCAGCAATAGAGGCACTATCATTATTAAACAGAAGTTCATCTAAAAGCTCTTCATCAGGATCGGGATGCAAAGCGTCATGGTGTTGAGTTTTGAGAGGATCTTCCAAGACGATGTTATCTTGAGTTTCTCCTGAGGCTAACTTGCGACAACCGTCAATTTTTGGCCAAGTCAAAGTCAACTAAAGTCAACAAGTCAAACCGGTCAACTCATCTAACCCTTGTACATTAGGGTTTCCATTATGTTTCTTATTGTACAACTCGCAATCCTCATACAAATTATCACTTAGGGTTTTCATGTGTTCGGAAATTCTAAACCTTAATAAGAGTAAGTGATGACTCTACTCGATAAAACATTATTCCTTAACCCTCGGGGGCATATAACAATCATAACAAGACTTGACGAGGTTTACAAACCTTGCGTTACAGAGCCAAACACTCAAAAAGGTCACAAAAGAACTCTCTCCCAATCTCTTTCACACTAACTCTCCCAAAACTCTCTAAGTAGGAGAAATCTCTCCAAGCATGTGAAATCTCTCCCAAATCTCTCTCTGAATGAGAAATCTCTCCAAGAATGTCAAATCTCTCCCAAATCTCTCTCTGTTTGAGAAATCTCTCCAAGAATGTCAAATCTCTCCCAAATCTCTCTCAAAAGTTCCTTTAACTTTTTATAATCTTTCGGGTCATCCCGACCCTTAACCGGGTCAAAAACCGCTTGAAACGGGGTAATATTTGGTAAAACAGCCTTAATAGACCGAAGCCTCCCTTTAGGAAGCGAAGCCTCTCGGACCCAAACCATGAAGAACCGAACCGAGCCTGATGAACCGAAGTGGCTTGAACCGAACCCGAAGCCTGCTGAGAACCGAACCCGAAGCTGCTGACCCGAACCCGAACTTCGCCTTCGCTTCCTCCCTGCCTTCGCCTTCGGTCCTTGCTGCTGGGGGACCGAACTTCGGCCCTATCCGAGCAACTTCGCAGGAAGCCTTTTTCTTCCCGGTTTTCGACTAGTTTTGCGTTCTAAGCCCGATTTTAATTATTTTAACGTGGGGTTTTCACCCAAAATCATATTTTAACATATAAAACCCCTTACTTCATGAATAATCATGATTTTGAGTGTAAATCTTATCCAAGAAGAGTGGGTGAAGTACTTGAGGTGGAGTGTTGACTTTACTTTAGTTTATGACACAAGCAACCACCCACACCCACTCCATGACCAGCCCACACCCCCCACCATACCTGGTCATTCATCGTCCTTTTCCCATCATTTCCCAACCCCATTCCTTGTATAAGGCTGAAATCTATCCTCTCTCCTAACACTCTCTCTCATTTTCTCATTCTTCCACCAAAGATCAAACACATTTTCTCTCTCAATTCTCTCACTAAAATTCGAGATTCAAGGGCCTTCTTCCAAGCTTTTCTTTGACTTTTGGTAAGTATATTCATCCTCCATATAATTATTTCACTTCCTTCTACTCAAATCATAGATATTTTACACAAACATCATCACATTCAAGTTAAATCTTCGAACCTTCAAGGCATCTTCTTAGTGTTCTTGAGTTGAACACTACCTTTCTCCATCATCCATCTACTGAAATCACTCAAGGTGAGTTCATACCCCTATCTTTTCATGTTTTTCATAAGTTTTAAGGGGGGGAATACAAGTTAAAACACCAAAAACTTAACTAAACTCAAACAACAGCTTTCATCAGAAAAGTTTAGTCTTATTCACGGACTTTTTTCACTACCTAAAACTTAATATCTTTCAAAACTGTTTAATATGAAAATAGTTCAGATTCATACCTTTAATATGACTACTTGCACATCTCCATACGATTTGTCTACGATTTATGGTGATTTTTACAAAACTGTCTATCATTTCAGAAACGAATTCGGAGCAGTATGTGAATATGAACATTTTAACACAAGTTAAAGACTTCTAAAAATCATAATAAAAATTATGAATAAACTAGACACATTTTTTGGACTCTCAGAATTTACGGAATCAGTTTTTGACTTCGTATGATTTTTCTAAACAGTATAGAAAGGTAAAAATCTAGATAACAGCTTATAACTTTCATCACACTTTGTAACTTGTTGAGCAAAGTGTTAATCTTTGAAGATTTCATATTTTACATGTGTTTCTTGTTGTGGTATAATTATATAACAGAAAATACTCACTGAATTGTAAGAATCCTCCATTATTACCATTCGTACAAAAATAAGGCATGATAACACATAATTATATTTTTGCTATACATTCGACTTACATAGAAAAGGGTCCTTATACATCACAAACAAACATGCTAGAACTATAATAGGTATAGTTTATGTTCACTACCACTACCACTATTTGATAAACTATAATATGCATAATTCATGTTCACTATCACTACCACTATTTGGTGAATTATGATATGTATAGTTTGTTCACTACCACTACCACTATTTGATAAACTATAATATGCATAATTCATGATCACTATCACTACCACTATTTGGTGAATTATGATATGTATAGTTTATGTCCACTACCACTACTTGATGAATTATGATAAGCATAGTCTCGGTCTTTGGTTTTTAAGACTACATTCTATCTAGAATTGTTAGTTTTCAGCCATAATTACTAAGTGTATATGCTAGAGTTATATAGAATTTAGTCATGATCGACTTAGAATTGGTGGGTCCGCTTTATTTCCTGTTCCTTGTTTGGTTGTGGGCCTAGGGCAGACCCATTACATTCGATGGTCTATTTAACTTAAATTTTATATAACTTATATACACTTAGAAATTATAGAAGGAGACTATAGGAAATTCTAGGATGCACTATTTATTAATATAGAAACTTACGATTCACTCTTTAAGGAAAATATCAGATTTTCTTTGGAAACATATTTCTACTAAAACTACATTACGTCTAGAATTGTTAGGCTTCAGCTATAATTGCTAAGTGTATATGCTAGAGTTATATAAGAATCCAATCACAATCGACTTAGAATTGGTGGGCCCGCCTTATCTCCTGTTCCTTGTTTGGTTGTGGACCTAGGGCAGACCCATTATATTCAACGGTTTATTTAATTTAAATTTATATAACTTATATACGCTGGGTAATTATAGAAGGAACCTACAGGTATTTCTAGGGTTCATTATCGCATAACGTAGGAGCTTTCATTTCACACTTAATTAAGAAAATATTGGATTTTCTAGAAACATACTCTGTCGCTTTTTCAAGGAAAACGGTTTCTTTCTCAAACAAAACTCTTATGAACTCACCAACTTAATTGTTGACACTTTTCAAAACTACTTGTATTCTCAGGAAATCAGTGAAACAGGAAAACATCAGCACTTTGAGGATGGGACGTTAAATCGTCAAACAGTCTATTTTGTCATCATAATGTAATTGATTTTGACACATGTAAACATATACTATGGTGTAACCTTTTCAATTGTATTTATGATGGTTGTATTTACTTTGAGCACTATTATACTCGTTGTTGTGATACTTTACATGAAGTCCTCCACCCCCGGACGTTTCCGCCATCCTTGGTTTGGGGGTGTGACAGATTGGTATCAGAGTATTGTTTATAGTGAACTAAGTATATCGAACCACATAAGATATACAAACTATAAATGCATTGGGACTAAGGTCTCTGATGTAACATTTTCAAATAACTATACTTTTAGAAATAAATAGTTTCTTGTTAAAAGTATACATGCATGCATACATACTAAGGTCAGCATCATACTAGGACAAAACAAAAGTTGTGATTGTTGAATGACACGAGTAGGCTTGGGGATGTATGGTCAGGTCTGGGAATGACATAGCCTGATCAACTATGTCTAACCCAGAAGTGATTAGCATATGCCCGGGAATGGTTGTGTTGTTGCAACATGTCTAAAAACTTACGAACTCTATCTACAAACAAACATTGAAAAACATAAGTCAAACATTAAAATACTATAGGAGTATTTGGTGATACTATAACCAACTTATGTGAAAACTAAAGACCCCTATTAGTAGGCCTATGATAACTGAGTGCATACGCCAAGGTTATACATAATTAAAGATATTATAGACTCAGAATCTATGACTATTTCTCTACTTCCTGTTCCTTGTTTGGTTGTGGACTTAGAGTAGAGTCATTTATTCGAAGGTCTATTCTATCTCAGATTATGTATAACTGGTATGCACTATGTGATTATAGACGTGACTAATAAGGATCACCCCTATAAGTAATTATAGGATTAGGCGTCTATTAATTATCTCTTCTACCCCTATTCTCGCACGAGCAACATGATGGGTAAATCTTAACACCCGTACAAAACCTACTTCTACCCACTACCATAACTCCGTCTCCGGGACGTTAGCTGAAACATCGAGAATAGTTCACTAAAGTGCGAAATTATACGTGTGTATATAAATGGTAAGGATATAACTAAAGTATATTAATAAAAATTGGCATGCATTTTATTTCAGTGGGAGTTACCACATATTTCATAACCTGTTATTACAAACGATTTGCTTATGATAACTCTAAGATTACTTAATGTATACCTCAAGGTTATGTGTAATTAAGAGACGATCGGCTTAGAAATGTTAAGTCCGCCTTAGGTCATGTTCCTTGTTTGGTTGTGGGCTTAGAGCAGACTCATTAAGTTCAACGGCCTGTTGGACCTTAATTACACACAACTGGTATACATTGGGTGATCTTGGGGGTGGGTCGGGCATGGAACAAATCACAAGATTATAATCAAGTCATTTCTACTAAATTCATAAGTTTATTTATATAGACCTCTAGTATGAATTGTTTTCCACATTCGAAGAATCGGGAAATACTATACTTAAAAACTAATAACCATTACTAAAAGACTTGTACTCATTACGTCTTTGAAATTCTATAACAGAAAGTTGCCGCCTCGAAGATCTGTTAGACGCACTAGCGGAACGCAAACAAATCCACCACCGCCGCCTCCCCAATATGATCCTGTTATGTTCCAAGCTGCCGTAACCGCAGCCGTAGCTGCTGCAATGTCGCAAATTGGTACGAATGGTACCGGTGGTGCTGGATCTGGTGCCACAAACTCCAACCATGGGGACAGTACGAGGCGTACGAAGGAATGTTCATACAAGGATTTTACTGGTGGCAAACCCGATTCTTTCAATGGAAGGGGGGCGTCATCACACTGATGCAATGGTTCGAGAAGACCGAATCGGTCTTCAAAATTTGTGCT